TAATAGGAGTAAGATCGTTCTCAAATATATACTCAAGAATGCAATTATATGTAGGTAATCTTATATTATTGAAACGAATAGAGGATATGGTGACTTTCATACGTATCCAGGACCTTTCTCATACAAATCATCTAGAGTCACCGTTTGGCTTAGTGTTGACCAGATGTTTGCAACAGTCAGGTGAATATTAATCATGTGTCTGAATTGTGCATAGGTAGTGCAGTTTCTAACACTCGATGGAAGTTTGTTCCATATTAACGCGTATTTTACAGAGAAAAATTTTGAGCGGAGCATTGTGCGAGACTTTGGTATTTTCACTGTGCGCTCGCTGTTTCTTAGTTCATAGCGCATACGAGTCTGAAACTCGAGTTGTGGCTGAGCAGTGAAGGTCAATCCGAATAGTAAGCGGTATAAAAGGCACAGATTAAGTTTGAGTCTGCGTAGCCATAGCGGCTCCAGATTTAGCGCCTCGCAACGCTCACGGTATGTCATAGTATTAGGCATGTTCAGAAACCTTTTTGTGAATGATCGTTGAATGTTTTCTAGTGCTATAATATCCACTTTTCTCAGATTACTATGCACTATCGTACAGTACTCAAGTTTCGGCCTAACACATATTTTAAAGGCTTGAAGCCTGGAATCCCTCAAAATAAGAGTTCGACTTATATAGGCGATCACTTTTCTGGCAGAAGCCTGCAAGAATATAACATGCTCTAAAAAGTTAAATGAGGCAGAATATCTTAGACCAAGGTCTCGGACTGCGCCACACACAGGAATAGGGGTATCGTTTAATGTAAGGATGTTTAGAGAAGGGCCACAGCCGTAGTACAATAGATTACTCTTGTCCGTGGCAAAGTGCAGCTTCCAGGAGTTACTCCAGAGCTCCAATGCGGACAAGTCAGACTGAATATAGGCTAAGTTAGGACTACGTTGCCCAGGGGTGGAACAATACACAATTTTAACATCATCTGCGAAAAGGTACGGCTTTCCATACGAGATTTCGTCGAGGAGATCGTTGAAATAGATTAAGAATAAAAGCGGGCCTAGCACGCTACCTTGAATCACTCCACTAGAAATTGTAGTGGCTTCAGATGTATAGTTACCGATTTTGACTACTTGCTTTCTACCCTCGAGGTAGGAAGACAACCAGTCTAGAAGCGAATTAGTGATACCATAGGACATAAGCTTCAGCAGCAATAAATTGTGTGGGACACGGTCAAAAGCCTTTTGGATATCAAGAAATATTACGATGATAGCACTTCCGGCGTCTCTTGCTCTAGTCACATAATCAAGGTAATCTAACTGGCAGGTAGTGCACGACCTACCTTTCAAAAAAACCGTGTTGATGTTTACTGAGAAGGCTCATAGAACTCAAATATTCTATTATGCGTTCTTTAACTATCCTCTCCATGATTCTGGAAATAATAGATGTGTGGTGGATTGGGCGGTAATTTTTTACATCTTGCATAGATCCGCTTTTGTGCCTTGGTATTATAGTTGATTGTTTCCAGTGTATAGGATACTCCCCATTGAGCATGGAAAGTGTAAATACATTAAGCAAAAACAGGGGGATGTCTGGACCTCCGTGCTTTACCAGTATTGGAGGGATGTTGTCAGGGCCTGGTGAGCATGATGGCCGAACTAATCTGAGTTGGCGACATATGTCACTAAGTGTAAATTCAACAGTTTGGAGTGTATTACTCCCTCTGTGTATCAGCTTGAGCTGAGGATCATCTTTCGCATTAGCGCCATAAGTAGACATAAAGTAGTCATTGAAGATCGAACATATGATTGCACCGTCGGTTATGGCAGTTCCATCAGAGTTTACAATGGTGTTTATACAACTTGATTTTCTATTCTGCCTACAGTCCAAAAGTTTTGAGATGCAGCCTACCACATTTGCGCCCTTCAGTGCCATTACTTCCTCAGAGCATGGCATTTTGTGGTGGTCTTGGTATAACGCTGTAAGCAATCTGGTGTGGAGCATCAGCAGAGTAAAATCATTAGTTTTCCTAAATTTTTTCTTTATTTTATAAAGTTTAGTGGCTACCTTTTTTGAGATGCCTGCAGGAGCAGCAGTCCTTTTCAACTTCTTAGTACGTTCTGGAGCCACAACTTCAACACAAAGCTGAATGCGGTGGTAGAATTCATTACAGGCAATTTGTACATTCTGTGCTAAGAAGAATGGATCCCAATATGAAGACCTTATAAGATCCGAGAAAATTGACCAATTCACAGAAGAGAATGGGCGATAATTTATCACTGATTCTGTCTGTTTAGAAAGAATTTGGAAAGGACAACCAACAATGTTATGATCACTACCCGGCAACTTATCACTGATGTATGTGGACACATGCGAACATCCCATCGTAAATATTAGATCAAGTGTGTTTCCAAGTCGTGTAGGTTCTGTGACGTGCTGTACCCATCCCAGCCGATCAAGAGTAGACATAAAAGGATTGTGTTTTTGTGGTTTATTGTTAAGGGACCACGGGATTTCGGGCATATTAAAATCCCCAGCGATTATTTTGTTAGTGTATGAGAGGTCAGCAATAAGAGAGAAAGTGTCCAACAAGTCATCGGTCACGGTGAGTGTAGAAGATGGGGGTCTATAAATACAACCTACTAAGAGATTTGTTGGATTAATAGAAATTGTAATCCACACCGAATCAGGAAGTCTCTGGAGGAATGGTTCATTCAGAGGCAGAACCAAGTATTTGTTTTTGACGTAGATTATACAGCCACCACCTCTACCATAAAGACGGTCATTACGAAAGATGTTATAACCCAGTATCCTGAACAATGTGTCAGACATCTCTGCTGAACACCATGTTTCTGTAATTAGTACTATATCAGGAGAAGAAAGGTGAAGGATATTACGCAGGAAGTGCATTTTATTTAACAGTGAACGGGAATTAATTAAAAGTAAGTGCAGTGTCTTGTTGTCCGTTGGGTTGTCTACAGGAATCCAGGTACAGGACCCCAACGAGGTGGTATTTGGAGAGAGTGGAGTGGGGGTGGTGGATACGGAGGACATATAATTTGCGGAATTAGTGTCATTTGGGGGTGTGGCGGGTAGAACGCCACTGGACCCCCAAAAAAAGGTTGGAAGGGTGAAATACTGGGAAAATGGCGACCCACTGGGAGATTACAATTTTCTGGCTGTTGCACATAACCTACGTGCCAGTTAAGGTTATTTACATGTTGAGGTAGTTTGAGAGGATTTTGGTTGGGCCAATTTCTCTCAGCTACTTTAAGTTCCCTAACAAGTGGCTCACAAGTTATGGAGCACACAGGTCGCATATTCAAATGCTGCGTGGTTGGAGATATGCCGATTGTCTGCTGGTTTTCAGTGGTGACAGCGTTTGGTGGAATGTTTAAAATAGCCGTGTTTTTATTGTGTTTAGGAGCACCCGTGTAGATTCCACGTGAGGTTTTGCTACCAGTGTTCTTTGCAACAGGGCTGTTCCGCAGTTTTAAAGGTTCGCAGCTTTTAGGAGAGGAGGTTTTCAGTTTCGTACCAGAGCGTCTATGCACCTGGTTGGTGAACGACAAAGAGTGAGTAGAAATAGTCGTTTGCGCAATGGAACTTTCTTGTATGTTCGGGGACGAGTTGCGCGGTAATGCTGGACTAATGTGACACTGAATGGAGTCAGAAGCGATATTTTTATGACAGTTGCTATCTGATTTCAACCTAAGAGCTGATTCATTTATGATCAGAATGTCATCTAGGTCAACCAGGTGGGGAAGTTCCTGAGTTTCCGTGGGTGGCGGAACATACTGGTCACAGACTGTTTGTCGGAAATAGGCTTTTTTGCACTCCCTTTGTAGTACTGTTAAATCTGGTTTCAGGACCATGGATACGTAATCTTTCCTAAGGGATAGTGCGCTCCTACTACAAATGAATTTTTCAGCCAGTGTGTCGTTTGAAAATTTAAAGAGTACTGGACAGACCTGCTTCGGAGATTTCTTTCGCAGCCTCACACAAGAAAACTGCCGTCTTTCAATATGACAGTCGTTTGCCACTGCAGAGGAGATAGACTCAAGAGATAACTTTTCTGGTAAATTAAATGCTATAACATTTTTGGAGCGTTTAATGCGATCATGCACCTCAAATGCAACATGTTGTATAAGATTCCCAACGGATCGAAGGTGTTCGATTTTTGGTATATCTGGAGTATTAAAAAGGTACTTAGTCGAGTTAAATTGCTCTAGCACTTGGTACAGAGATTCAAACCTTTCCTTCAAATCCTTCAGCTGTAATTCAAGCGCAGCAATCGTTTCAATCGCTTTAATGGGCGATTCTGCAGTAACTGCGCTGTGCTCTATCAGAGAGACCTTATGAGAACTATCATTTGATTGCTTTTCTACTCTTTTGCGCAACTTCGGCTTTATTTTTATCTTAGATGATGAGCCTTTAATTTTTTCCGTGCTGACGGATTGGTTATAAGCAGGATGTTTTGCCAGCATTGCAGTGGTTTCCTGTCTCTTCTTTGAGTTTCTGGTTTTAGCTGAGGTAACGAGCATTTTTACTGATTGGTCACTCGGTTTTGGGGCTTGTGAAAACTATTTTATGTGGACAAGGGTAAGAAAATACGGAACAAATTTCACCGTTTTTGTTTCAGTGATCAAGAGGAATTAAACAGTTATCGACAAACCGCCGAGGAAACAGACTAGGATTTTAGGGCTTATAAGACCTATCAAAAGTGCACGAAAATTCACACAGGTCCAAATGGCGGTTGTACGGCTGTTGACGATGCTGCTGATGTTGATGATGATGATGATGATGATGATGATGATGATGATGATGATGGTCTCGTACCTGTTTTTGGTGGCTTTTATCTCCATACGTATACGTAATGAGTGTAATTTAATCGGGATGCCTCACTCCATAGGATTTTCCGCATATTCATTCACAGATGACAGCTGACGAAACTAGAAATCCATGCTATATCATGTGTAATGCACTATGTCTATTTTTGCAATCTTTTCTGTCGAAGGTCACCGACAACATCCCTCTCAACATTATGCAGTGCCCAGGAGTCGTGAAGCACTATCAGAAGATCCTACGACGAAGCAAGAGAAACACGAGTCAAGGTCTAAAGACCGCAGGCGAAGAGGAGAGGCGAGGCTCCCGACGGATACCGCTACTCATGTACCTGACGAACGGGCACCTATGGAAGATGCGCGGCATCGAGACAGGAAGATGCGCAATGGGGAAGATAGTGATAGTCATAAACACAGAGGATCTTATGATCGACCACCGTCAAGCCGCATGGAAAAACATGATAGCGTTTCTGGTAAGCCTGATGGTGAACTAAACAATTCTGATGGTTTATAAGTAGTAGGGGGATTTATTAGCTTTTTGTGTAGATTCGTCGCAGTTAGACACCAGCAGACAGCCACCACACATCCAGGAAAGCGCTAGACGGCCGTTTCGTCCTATTGGGATTCGTCAGTAGAGCGTACCTGCCCAAACCTGCCGGTTTCGAACCAACGACCTTACTCTTGCGAGTCAGCGACTTATGTCACTGAGCCATGGGCAACGGCAGCGGACCGCCATAACTGAGACCTAACTGCGATATAGCGCGGTTCATCCTCCACTGCCTTGCATGTTATGAAGGTGCAGAGGACAGGGCTGGCCCCCAGAGCAACGATGGTTATTGTTTGGTCATGGCTTATCTACCTTGTATCTGGATTTCGAGGAGTAATCTTTCTCGAGACCACCGTTTGCTTTGAACCAAACTTCTGCCATTTAAATCACTGGGATCGCATCTGAAGTGCAAGATTTGGTGGTCTATCTGAGATTTACAGAGCAACCTAAGAAAAAAGCAGAAGTTACCATCTGCAGACTGTACCGTTTCAACCTCTTTGTGCTTGTTTGCGCCTTGTCCTTATTTTTCCACTATTATCAGTGATTATCATAGCAGAATAAAATCCTTTAAAAAGCACAAATGAGTGCGGAACTCTTGTCACATAAGCAAGTTGCAAGAAGCAGGGTCTTCCTTGCCTCGGAATCGGTCCTATTGGGCGTTATGCCATCAGGGACAACCCAGTGCCATTGTGGCACGCACTTTACTCTCAAAGGTTGGTTCTTTCCTTTACTGAACTCCAGCACTACTATGCAGTTCTTTTCACCTTAGGCGTTTTACAATTGCTTTTCTTTTCTCCTGTCGCGATCGAAGCCTGTCTTGGCGTGCACAATCAGGGTCACCGGGTTTACGAGGGCGTTCAATAAAGATTTCCCATGACCAACTTCCCGGATACTGAGAACACGAAACTTTGCACAGAGATTATTCCTTCCTCACGTATGTAGCACCATGCGTTAAACGTTCCTCCTATTTTGTAATGCGCTTGAATAGGCCACATGTGTAGAATTACTCAGCTTGGATTAAACCTCATGACTTGACCCCAGAAATCAGAGTCTCACTTGTCAGGAACATGCTTTCCACTCAGAAATGACTTCATGTACGGAAAGAGACGAAAGGCAGATGGTACAAGGTCTGGAGAATATGGAAGGTGAGGAAGTATTTCAAAGCAACAAGACCGCGATTATGTCTGGGCGACTGTTTTGTTATGGGCCGGAGTATTGTCATGAAGGAGCAGAACAACTGGTTGGCCAAAAGGCAGTGTTAACGAACAAATGTTTCCGATACTTCTTGTTCTGGCTAGTACAATTATATACCAATCAGACCAATCAGACAGACCAGCCAAATCAGTTCATCGCGCCGATGTAAATAATCCGGTCTCGTACTCTAATCGGTTTTAATGACACACCTCTCAACACACACGTGTGCTTATACTCATTTGATTCAGCTTCATCTGCGCTATTTAATGCATTTCATCCCTCGGATCTAACCTGTGTGGATCAGCTGAAATTTCAACATCATGGTTTTTGCACTGTTCCCCCGGAAACATAATCTAGAAATTTTCCGAGCTCCAGACCACTAAGCAATATTTGCGGTTTCGAACGATGAGTCTTCAATCACAGCTGTCGACCGCTAAGCGAATTAAATATCCGGCACTGTGTCCCCATCGCTTACTCGAGTTATTTAAATCTCAGAGCTTAGCGATCAAATCTTCCACCCGCTCATTCCTACTTTGCTAGTCGTACACGCACCGAACGCGTTGACCTTGAAAACACGGTGACAGACAAGCACACCACTGACCGAAAAGGAATCGATCGACGCAATGGTTTTTAACGACCAGTCCATAGTTGCCCCTTATTCCACACCAAGGCTGACAGTAGTAAGTGGCATGCCTTCATGCCATAAGCATGTACGAACGGAATTCGTTGTGGAAACTTCCGAAACTAGTTCCATCCTAAATGTGCCAAGCTCACAGTAAGCCAGCTGAAAATACATAATAGTAAACCAGATTATCTATGGAGGGTGTCGGTACGGCTTTCCCCCATCCCTGCGCTCCACGACCGACGGTTTCGTCTTTGTGTAGACTCATCAGGTAGAGGTAGCCGATCTGGGAGTGGAACTCGGTATATAGTGCTTGGCGGCTATGGCTATGATCACTAGGCCACTGAGCTCCGTGAGCAGTGTTTGACACCGCGGGTAGAAGAAGATTTTCGGGTTTCTCAATATCTTGGATCATATTTGGAACCGATCGGGAAGCCATAATTTCAGAAAACTTGGTAGACGACCGGTTGATGCATTAATGGTGATAGACAATATTTAGTTTTTGACAAAAAAGCTTCATCGGATTTTTCAGCACCCGCCGTGTGTCTTGGATTGTAGCATTCAATCGCAATTGTGATCTCGGTTGAGTTTTAATTCGGCTTCTGCCAATACGGTCACTGTGACCGTCTCCGAAGTGGATGAATTCGGTGTGGTTCTCTCCCATCCCTGCACTCCACGACCGACGGTTTCGTCTCTGGTTAGACTCATCAGGTAGACACAGCCGAGCGGGGAGCGGAACTCGGCCCATAGTATTTGGCGGCTATCGCCATGATCACTAGGCTATTGAGCTGCGCGAGCAGTTCGAAGTTGATTCTCGGGTTTCAGTACGTTATCAAAAGGTATGAAGCTAGCGCATAGGCGATTGGAGAAACATCATAATGATTATACACGTTAGCTGAAGGAGGAAACATCGCAGCTACTGTGCCGCAATACATAAATGGAAAAAGATACAAAGCGTGCAACAGATGCATGCTAGCTGAGCTACCAGTAATGGATGGTCATCGTTCCGGATAGCTACCAGCCGGCTACTATGCAGCGAAGAAAGTTTAATTATGCAAACTTATATTAGGCTAAGAAGTGAAATAGTGGTTGATGGCAGAGACTAAGAGAAATGAGTTGGGACAAAGGCACCCACAGCATGAAAGCCACTGAGATCGGCTCCTAGCCATGCCAGCAAGTATTTCCAGCCAGACGTGTTCATCAACTTTCGGACCCTAACCAGGGAGCTGACACGCTCCAACTGAGGCCAGTTTCGAAGCGAGTGCCTTCATTCTTCTCGATTAGAGAAACACGACGCCCATATCAGAACGTACACGTGACCCATAACCATGGTCGTTAAGTAACGCAGGCCGAGACGTCCATTGAAGCACTAGGTAGAGAACACTGAAGGCAGCAGTACAACTGGCCCCCAGGTAAATGCGCATCCTAATTGGCCTTGCGATCACATTCGTTGTTCCAATTAGGGTCACGGTGGTCTGGGGCATGCTCAAGAGGCCCGAGATATGGGGGAAATTAGAAATGGCCCATATTGTGCCTGAAAGTCAAGTCATTTTCGGAGTGGCGCCTGCGGTATCAACTTGGTCGATTACGCCAGTAACGAATCGCTGCATATTCCCCTATCGCTAATCTTAAACCATAACCGACATCTGAGATATGTGGCAGCAGAATAAACGCTCTCAGTTCGATGAATATGTTGCACAGGAGCCCTGTGACTGTTTCTACTCACTAACGATAGTGAGAACACGTACGGCCAGGAACAATGATTCACACAACAAAATACATCTCGTTGGAGTTCGGAATGACGCCACCGTAAGCAGTCATATAAGATAATGATGGTATTCCCCGCAGCCGCAACCCTTTTGCGTCACTTGCGTTACTTAGCTCGGTAGCTGGCAGACCTTCTGCCTGGTCTAGTGGCAAATCTATAAAGAAAAATGATAGGAAGATGATCAGATCAAGCATAATGGGTTTGGAAACCTATGAGTAACTATTAAAATCGAGTGCCATCCATAAATCTTGGTACCATGAACGATTTCGTTTTGTGGTTCTTAAGTCGCGCGACCATGTTTACGCCGCATTCCGTCCATACAGAAGGTAGGCCAACTGTCCACTAGCTACGTACCTCAGCGAAGTAGTGAACATGCGAGCCGGAAGACGATACTTGGCTGCTTGACCCGTTCCCAGCTTCTTCAATAAAGTACGCAGTGCCAGCACGTGACGGTGATGTCCCAACAGCCGTCCGTAGACTGCGATGCGTCAATCGCGAAACAGCTCCCCAAGCAGACAACTGCGTTGATTAACCACTCAATGTCAAGGTCCTACGCTGGATTTGGATCTTCTTTCTGAGGGGTCTTTGCCATCAGTGGTCGGCTTCGCAGACTATACCTTTTCTCAGTCCATTGCACCTGCAAGCACTTTCAAACTCCACCTTAAGGAAAACATTTTCTTCCATAGATCTCTGAAGATGGTCCTTATAATTATCAAATTGCATCCAGCGGGCGCGAACGCCCTTAAAGTAGGCACTGTTCGTTTCGTGAGAAATTCCAACACAGCCGGTACCGTTCCATTCTGTGTACTCGTTCGGTGTACCAGTGACTACTTCGATGGTTGGCCGCGCAAAAACAGTACACATATAGGGCAGTTCGCGCCCCTTTGGATGAAACCTGATACTGGAAAAGGATTAGCTTGAGCAATTTATGGAGGAACATGATTGGCTTAGGGAGGAATCTGAAAGCTCTATGGATGCACTGGACTGAGAAAGGGTACGGTTAGGCGATGTGGCTTATTTCGAGTTTCAGGTGCATAATAACAAACTGTGAAGTAATTGAGAGTCACGAAGTCAGAGGTGAATAAATTAGGGCTAAACTATTTTATAGTAACCACTAAAGTGTCCGGAGTCTGCTCGCAAGCCATTTTATCCATTATATCAAATATGGTACACGCCGGGTTGGAACATTGCATCTATTTGTCTGTTGCCAAATTGAGGACTTAGAGTCGCTTAACAACTTCTAACGATACAGCATCTACTGTCCTTCTGTTCCTTGCAATCCAGCAAGCTTTTCTTTGTCACACGATAACACTTAGATCTGATATCCCGTATTTAGACAAACAGACCAGTGATTTCCCTGGTAAATTGACGCCACTGGTGTAATTCTCCAACTAGTATTGGCCCTCCGAATTCGCTCCCTGCTACTAGCGTCGAGTTCCATTCACGATGGGTTTGCTGCTCTGATGTTACCACATATTGTTTCATAGCTATCATTGTGTGCACGATTCGCTGCTTAAAGAATCACTGTAGTTACAAACCAGATGATTTTATTCTGCTATTTCGATTTTCAGATAAAGGGAGTGCTCATGGACATCGAAGACGTCATCCGCCTCCGCCTAAGGCATCTGATCGTAGTCAGCATCCAGCTCGAAATGGCCACCAAGGCGAGCGTCGATCCTCAGGCCGACGACACCAGACGGTTATTCATGGTAAGTAGCCCATTTTAATCCAGCCACCTTTGCGACTGACTTTGGTGACTGCCCACTGCAAGCAAACTTCTACGAGTAGTTAACCGAGAGTACACTGACGGCCTCGGTATAAAACAGCAACTACCAAGGAAAGGGTTTTTTTCTGCATGACCCGAAGTACTGGCTATGACTATATGCGCCGGTAGACTGAAACAGGGTTGACCTACCGTCAACAAGTGCGCTTTCCTCTTTCATCAGTTATTCTGAGCTCTATAACCAAATGTAACCAAGGAAATCTGCAAATAATGTCTGTATGCAAGCACCTGGAAACCCCATTCGCACAAGTAATGTGGATCCATTAGAACTTGGCGCAAAGGGATACCCAGGAGGTTTTGCGCACTTAGGACCAAACGCTACAAATAATTAAGGGACAAAGTACGCACATACACACAGACTGTTTAGAATGCATAAGAGCCCGCCGAAGCTTCCAAAAGAGCTAGAGCCCTAAGTTACCCATATACGTACCAAGCAAATTACAAGGTTTTACACACCATATAGGCGATAATCTAGTATGACATCAATCCAGAACATTGGTTAACTGTGGTGTACACTCTGACTCAGTACTTAATGTTGCATAATGTGTCAACGAAAGGACGACCTCCAGCTCTAATCATATTTGTATGTACCCTTAAAAACCTTGATAAGTGGCTGCACAATCAGGCACTTGTCTTCAGCATTGTACTTTTGCTAACATCATAATTACTGAGACAAACGCACTGTAGTGCAAGAACACTGCTAGGGCAGCAAATGAAGAACCATCGGTAAAATAAGTTCGGGGCACTGATTTGCAACGTGTATATATATATATATATATATATATATATATTATATATATATATATATATATATATATATATATATATATATATATCCTTCCATTTACACATGCTGCGGTAACAGACTAGCCTATATTACGGTGGAACGTGTGCCCAATTCCTTTTGTGAATCCTAGTTCGTATGATGTTTACCATTCTAGCCGATATTTCCACAAAAGAAAGTAATATCTGATGCAGAATCGGTCTAAAAGTGTTCCGGTTTCTGCGTCTATCAGGTTTGATTCGCTTGGCTACTGGTTCGTCGACAATAGCCTCTAAGGCCACAATGCTTGCCTTCCAACCCCGCGTTCGGCAGAGAAATCTTTCCCTTGTGTCATGCCTATATGCAGTGATCGTTAGCACCATTTCTCTGATGGGCAAATAATCAGTGCCAGCAGTTTACATTAAATAGTATGAATTCAAGTCGTAAATGATGACGTGAACTGGATCCAACGCCCGGAGTAGACGTTTGAGAAACAAGCTGCGAACAAGACGGGGGAATGGGCGTGAAACACGTTTGAAAACCTTGAGTCATGATACCATAAAGGTTGCGCAAAGCCCAACTTTTCAGCGTTAACACATCCTCATATTATGTACTTATCCACCCATCTTGCCATACCTACCCACCAAATGTTGTTTCCTTTTCTGGGACTACAGTAGTGACTTCGTAGCAGCTTTTCGCGCTTTCAGGCGACAGTCCGACTCTCAGTCCCATAGCTTTAGTTTATATCACTAGGCGTAGGCCTGAACCAGGGTTTTTGTGCCCGTTTGTGTGCAATTTTCACTTCAGCACAAATTGCGCAGCAATAGCTCGAAGATACCACGGTTACTAAGTTTATCATGGGTGTACAATTTCTATTGCTCCTGTTGGATAAATTGTGGTGACTGTACTTAAGATTTCCGGTAAAAATAACCGCAACTAGTGTAGGGTTATCCCATTTAGTGGAGTCTAGTCACCAAATCAACTGCACAATACCCTCCAGCCTATGTACTGCGTAACCGGGCGCCACACATGAGTGGTCAGATGTGGCCTTCTTTGGGAAGTAGAGGTGATATCTGTTCGACTCGAAAACCCGAACCTAAGCGCACTAAAGACATCCAACAGAACGATAGATTAATGATGGATTACAGGTAAAAAGCAATGCATAAGAAGTCTCGTGGAATGGACAAAGTTTAGAAAAGAGAACCTCATAAAACGAAACGTTATTGATGGACTAACCATAGCATTCTCATTAGGAAGTGTGTTAAATGGCCGAGATGTGCACATGTCAAAAATATATATACCCAACTGTCCAGTACTTTGAGAACACCGTGTGGTTGCCTTATGCAGACTTCTGCTGACATAAGTTATAGGATGAAATGTATCGTCCTGTCGTTTTTTAAATATTTTTAGGCTAGGGGCAAAGACAAAATAAGTTTAAAGAGCGTTCCACGGTTGACACACTCGAAGTGAGGATAAATTTCCACAGCATTCCAGCCGGCCATAGTATATTGTCAGCTTCAAAGGATGACCTCTTAGGTTGATGTTGTGGTTCAGCTTAAGCAGCGGACAACAGATGTATTTTGGGTTGTTCAGAATCGGGTACAACGTTATGAAGCCACCTGTAAGTGCCAAAATCTACTGCTGTACATTCCCAGGGACTTCAATCTAAGCTGGTAGACCAGATAAAAGAGGATGTTAACATTCTTGGATGTCCTTCACTGAGGAGCCTCAAGTGTAGCGACATCGTGTTTGTACCACGCGCTCCATACAACGGATGGCGTATCGCATGTGCAGTAGTACGTAGGCGTTAACCAGTTGTGAGAAGATTAAGAAGTCGAACGGATCGGACGCTCTGCAAAATAGGCAGATATGCTTATTACCTGTTGTCGATGACATTTCTGACTGTTTCGAGAAACCGAGATCGTCCTGAACCAGTATCTCATGGTCAAGCTCCTGAGATGTCTCTGTGAATTGTGGTCTTCCAGCTTGTAAACGCTCACAGGCTGACGACGCAGTTTGATCACCTTGTTCTTAGCGGTATTACACTGTAGGTTCCTCGTTGACCACTCACGAACGTAATTCATTCAGGCCCTCCGTCTGTCTTGACCATATACCGTCAGAATATTAAAGTTAGTTCCCTTTAACAATTTGAAAAGCACAGAAAAAAGACGAAGGCTGGTAGATGCATGCATTTCGTATTGTCTCCTCAATACCATTAACAATAACCGATATGCATAGATATAGCTAACAGTGGGTGCAACTAGACAAGCTTAAGGTGCAGAACGAATGACGCAAGTGCACATCTACGTCCAAGGCAGCTTTAGGATGACAAATAATTGTTTATGAACAAACAAGGCTGGTTTCATCCGGCTTATAGCGACAGCCTCATTAAACCGAAGGAAGCGGGGATTAGTGTGACGTAACACAAATTTAAACGCCTAGCCCAGCTCCATCGAGGGAACTGAGTCTAATAGGTGTTCGCCTATCGAGAAAGCCGGCGGTCTGCGCAAACATGAAATCTGACGAGGGTAGGCAATCTGAGCAACTTCACGTTGAACCCATTTTGGTAAATGTTCTTTTATTCGGGAAGTCAGCGTTCTATTAGTTCTGCCTAGGTAACTGTTTCCGCAGTCACATACAAATTTGTATACACAGTGTGAGTTGGTCCAATAGGCTGAGCTTCCTTTGTTGGAGGTATGGGCAAATTTCGGGTTCGGTTGATGGCGAAGACTTACGCAGCAAACTGACTTCCTAGTGTAGGCGAAATTATACGCTTAGTTGTCTTCATCGTGGCTAAGTCACCTTTGAAAAGCAACTCGATATACACTTTCTGCATGGCTGTAGTGTGCACCAAGTCGTTTGGCCCTCACGGTTGGCTGTGTTTCTCGATAAATCTTCGAGGGTAGCCGTTCGCTATTAGTGTTGCTGTAATTAACACTAGCTCATCGTCCAGAGAGTCGGCAGAACAAATTCGTCTGGCACGACTAACTAGGGTCTTCACAAGTGTCCGTTTGTACCGCACTGGTGTGAAGCTGGTGAAGTGCGGGTACTGACCGGACCAAGTTGATTTTCGGTAAGTGGACCTTTTAATCAATCAGTCATCTCTGCGACTTAAGAGTATGTCCAGATATGACAGACAATTGTTCTGTCTACTTCACATGTAACCCGTAAGTTAGCGTGAGCACCATTGAGCCTTTATACCAAATGTGCGCTGCTGCTCCGACGAACAGAAAGCTAAGATATCATCAACCCATCTTTTGTAGTAGGGCACCTGAGCCATTCTGTAGAAATGCTTCTTTCTACCACCAGCATGAAGAAATCAACGAGCACAGGACCTAATGAGCAACCCATTGTTACGCTGTCAATTTGACGGTATGGTGTCTTCCGGAATTGAACCTTCACATTCTCCGTGCACAATAGCAGAGATTTAGCAATTCAGTCAGAATTGGTAGGGAACAGCCACAGTTTTCAGCTAATTCGCACACGTAATCAATTGTCTGATGTAGCGGCACGTTGGTAAATAGGGATTCTACATCCAAGACCATATGGCTTTGTCTGAGAGATTGAGTTCAACCAGGTCGCCGATGGGTGGAAAAGAGTCTTTAAGATTGTACGGATTGAATAGTTGTTTCAAAGTAGATAGCAACTTCACTAACCAACCAGCGAGTTTATGCTGGGGCGCGTTCATCATTGGAAAGATTCGCCTGAGTGCCACTTCACCATTATGTGTCTTTGGGAGCCCAAACAGTTGTGGTATAGTGCTACCACTCGGGTTCAAACTATTAAATGTATCAGAGTCTATCACGCGGTGGAAGAGAAGCAATACCAGTTGACGAATTCTACTCGTTTCGACATTGGTTATATCCCCCACTTTCGTGAGCCATTCGAATTTACACCCATCGTTGAGTATGGCGCATATCTTCTCACTGTATTCGGTTCTGTTCATGATCACCACTCCTGAACCTTCATCTGGTGTCATTACGTTTATGTACTTATCTCGTAGTTGACGTAACGGCTGAAAATGTTGAGCTGGGATGGCACATTTTTCATTAACTGGCATGATTTTCACCTCATGGGCGATATCGGTTAACTTGTTTCTGGACCAAATAAGCTTATCAGGGCTGATTGGTTGGGGCTCCTTAAACTGGTCAGAACAGTATTCAAATTGGGCTCCTATAAACAAGCCGTTCAACTTTCAACAGGGACTTTGTAATTGACCCCAAATGATAATGCTTCTAATTGCAACGCACCAAGTTGCGCGTTCGATAAATCCACCACGTACTTACTGGGATCACGAGCAATTGGTTCCTCCTCCTGGTGGTTTGTCAGCGAATTTTTATTCAACGAGCCGAATTAACGATATCGATCACGCCAATTTCCTCGATTTAACCTTAACCGGACTATCCACTTAGCCGGATCGATTATGCACCTCAATCCACTTGTAGTATGCGTCCGGTCAAGGGTTCTGAGGGCTTCCGCGTACAGGGCGCACGGGCTTAGCAATAGACAGAGGGGGCCGGAAGTGCAAAACAGATACTGCTTAGGTGGCTGGACAGCTTCATCACAACCTGGCTGGACGGTGCTCCTGGATTATACTTCGTGGCCAGCTGGACGGCGTTGTCACCGTTTCCAATGAAAGACCAAGCCTGAGGTGGCTGGAAGGATGAAATGAAAACGCACAGGAGATGGCTACTCTAACGACACCAAAAATGAATGGGAGGAGAAAGAGAAAAATGACAATGACATTTTAGGCTAGGCTCGACGACATCTTTCTTGTTGCATTACTACGGAGACACCCTCTGGCGCGCCACATAGTGGCTCACTGCGTTTAATTCTCACATGTCTGTACTAGTCCTTCAATTTGTGGTTGTACTAACCTGGTGACGAAGCGGTAACTAGGTTTTACTTCGTTACAGGATAGTTTGCGTAAGTCACAAGAGACACATTTGTCCGTTAGATCTAGTTCTTTCCTTACCGATTCCCCACTTAATGTCCACTTGGAGCTTTCGTTTCCTGTAGCCTGAGATCTGCATTAACACCGGGATGGCTGTTATCAGCATCAGACTCATTACCTTTCAACTTAAACCATTTCTTGCAGATGATGATGATGAATACGTTAATTGGCCCGCTTTTCGCCGCCCAAATGGAGAAGAGGGGGTGGAGGATTATGGTCAGTGGCCTCACGAATTGAGTGACCGCTCGAACGAGCGGAGCACTTATGATCCGAGGGTTACAGTGGATGAACCAGTTCAGCCTCCAGCGAAGAATGTTCCGAAGCACAGACGTGCTGAGAATGGCCTTAGAACCGATCACCGCTCGAGAAAATCACCTCCAACGCTTGAGCCCCAACCTGCTGTCCGTCACCATCCCCGTGAACCGGGTCGTCGAGGAACCGGAGAAGAAAAGGACGAAACATATGAAGATGATGACGATGACTTGGGGGATTCCCATGATGACGATGAGGAATTGAGACCGCCACCGTTGCGAAGCATTCCCCAGTCCAAACAGTCTTCCGATTCTTTGGCACGTCAACCAACCACACGTAAGTAGAGCATGGCGAGATAAGGTATTTCTTTTATTATTTACAGTCAACACACTTCCATGTTTCCGACAACCAAGTGAAAGCAATCTCTGTCTAATACAGGTATGTAAAACTCATAGAAACCTGTTTGGTGTTGCCAATTTCCATGGTTGAAATTTACTACCGGATTCGTCCTCGCGTGTAATGTTCCGGCAGAGGTAGCCAAAGGGACGCCTCAAGCGTAGTATGGGGCTTGTTGACCGACGTTGTCAGCAAGAAACCGCAGAATAGCAAGTGGTGCAGGTCACAGTGACTTTTTAGGTATATCTTCGGAACAACCTTTCAGCGAATGGATTGCAATAAGCTATCGCAATGAGAACTCCACTCTCAGTCAAAATCCACACTTGGAGCGTTGCCTTTTTATCCGCTCATTCTGTTGCTTAATGGAGGTCGCATTTTCGGAGCTATGCGTTCATTGTACAGTAAATCGTGAAATCAATAAATCGATAAGTGCTTTATTTCTGGACGGTGCGAGACACAGTCTAACTGCTTTGGTCATTAGGTACAGCGTAATCGGACGGTAGAGAATGGCTTTTGAGTTTTACATAATAAGTCCCAGAGAAGCTTTTACGGTGTTCACTTGTGTAAAGTAGACTGTAGAAATAAAGGTAGACATAACCAGATCTTCAAGTAGAGTAACACGACCATCCGCGGAATCGTCTCCTGGGAACCTGCTTCCATGCGGGGTTGTCCCTCAAAAAGGTTTCATCCGCACTTTCATGTTTCATCTGGCCATGTCTTTATGTGGATTGCAGACAAATAATCCGTCATTATGTTGAGTGCTTTTCTCTGGCTGATGTTGTAAACAATAGGTCGTCACCATAAAGATTCTTTTTTATGGCCACTGTTATATTTTATAGGCTGTCAACGTATAGACCCATTTTTTGAGTCCAGCGCCCTTTTTCGCCAGTGGGTCTGGCAATTGGCCTTGCGTGGTTGTAATTATTTTTCCTGCAAGTTTCAATCCATCAACTGGGGAGATCGGCCCATTGGTGACCAACCATGGAAAGAAAAATAATAAGGAAATAGAGTGAAGACTACGATAAGTAACTGTTATATAATTCGCTAGAATGAGATGTGACCTGACGGTTGTCTTTTCCGTTCGAAGAGAAGTAAATAAATAAATAAACGTTTGTTCTCGGCAGTGCTTTCGAAGTATTTATAAACAGTGCAGCTCCACAAAGCTTTTCAGGTCGTTCCATCAAGTGAAGCCAATCGAAAAGAATAGAAATTGTGATCAAACTAGATTTCGCTGAGTACGGTAAACCTCAGCGCATACCTGACGTGTAATCTCCAGGAAATAACGGAAGCTGATTAGTAACGTAGAACAAATGGAAAAGCAATAAAATGAAAACAGACAAATTTTCGCCTTGGTAAGCCTAGATTTAACCCTAGGCGGAAAATTCGAGTTATTTGAAAACGTAATTTTATGCCCCTGCTAAGCATTTGGGAATCAATGGAATCGGGCGAAGAAGAGGCAAACCGGTATTTATAGCATATGCATTTCGCTGTACACCTTTTCTCAGTTAATTGCATCCATAACGCTTTCAAACGCAGCCTTAAGGAAATAGCTTTCATCCATACATCTTTCAGAATCCTCCTCAAGGCAATCACATATCATGTACCTGGCGCGAACGCACCAAAGTGTGCCCCTCGTTAGGTGACCAATACCAAATCAACCAATGACATTTCAGACTAGTTTACGATATGAGTTACCAGAGAAGGCTGGGGGTGGCGCAGATCGCGTACGATTTGGTGGGTACCTATTCGCACTCGTGTCTCGAATTCAGACATGATGGGCTACACTGAAGGAATTTCATTCGTCATACTTGACTGCTGCTTTAATTGACTCTGACGTAGGTTTAAACGAAGGTTTGGACATACCTTGGCCGAATCAAGTTTCAGACGTGACATAATTATCCCATAAAAAAGCGAGTAACTGCCGACATCCCATCGGTTGGCATTCTCCCACACTTGACATTTTCCTCCCTCTGTGGGCTCCCGGAGACAGAGAAACTATCTTGCTTGGATACGAATGCCCAGGGTCTTTTTAAGAAACTAGTCGAAGTTAAACATCACCAAACTTCCGGGTCATATGATGTCCTTAGCATCACCGAGACGTGGTTACACACGGGAATGACGGACGCTGAAGTTTCGCTACCGGGCATGTCGCTGATCCGGAACGATAGGCTCACAAAAGGAGGAGGGGTAATCCTGTATTACCTAAGGGACTTACAGTGCGAAGCCATGGCGGATTCATACTCGCCGTTCCCCGACTCGCTTTGGTGCCGCTTGCAGCTAAAAGGCAGGGACACTTGCCTTATCGTGTTGGTGTACCGCCCCTTAACTATACACCCGAAACAGACTGCCACCTAGCGGATGGTTTAAGGTGCATTTTGCAGCGAAAGTTCACTCACATATTTATCATGGGTGATTTCAACGTACATTGTGTAGAAACTCCTGCCATAATCGGAGAACAATTCAAAGCCGATCTACAAGATCTCGTAACCACTGTACCTCTTTAGAAACATACCACTTTGCCCACTCGGTTCAGAACTGGTAACAGGCCATCTGTGCTGGATCTTGTGCTTACTAACGAGGAGCATATGATTAACGTGTTGATTGTAGACTGCCCGTTGAGTCGCAGTGATCACGCAGCCATCCGTTTCAATTTCGTCTGCTATGCGGAAAATCCGAATGAGAACGATGAGACTGTGCGGACCATCCCAAGCTATGATCGATTAGTCTACCTCGTCAGCACCACAACTAGGTTGTTCCTTGCCGAAGAATCCCCGGATGTCGCCTGGCTCGAGTTCGTCAACAAATTCAGTCAGCTGATTGCAGCGGCTTCGGAAATAAGTGTTTACAATAAGTGTACATCAGTTTCTTTCAATAGGAGCAGAACTTGAAAATGGATGATAGTACGCAACGCAGTATGGCGAGTGTACAGAGAAGCTCCAGACCAGAAAATTGGAACAAATACGTAGCCTAACGCAACCACTGCACGCAACTGCCAAGAGAAGACAAAGCCGCCTATCAGCAGAACATCCCAAAAAACCTTCAGTGCCAACCACAACCTGCGGTACATGCACGTCAATAGCCTGCGAAAGGTGAGGCAAGGATTTCCTCCGCTCAAGATGGCTGATGGCCCAACAAGAACGGCTGTGGAAGCAACAAACGCGCTGCAGATGCAATATGCCCCACGTTTCAGTGGGTCTTGCCACCAGGCGATCTTTCAACCTTTGTCGTCCCCTCGCCAGAAGTAACCCACATCACTTTTACTGCTGAGGCGGTATTGCAAGAGCTGACATCTCTACGCAAACACAGCTCGCTGGGTTTCGACACCATTCGTCCAGAGGCACTGGAAGCAGCAGCAAGCCAAAGGACAGGATCTTTAGCTCAGCTTTGTCAGCACTGCTTAGACCAGAATCAAGTTCCCGCCATGTGGAAACTTGGAATAATAACCCCGATTTACAAAGGCGGAAGCAGTACTGATCCCTCCAACTACCGCCCAGTATTCCTTCTTATTATACGGTCCAAGGTCATGGAATCCATAGTTGTCAAAGCACTGGTATGCTATCTGGAAAACTGTAATATCGTCATGCTGAGCAGCACGGTTTCCGTCGACAGCGGTCCTGTACAACGAATTTACTAATCGCACGCAGTAGTTGGACCGAGGAAGCTGACGCTGGAGAAGGCGTTGATGTGATCTACCTGGACTTTTGAAAGCTTTTGGTCGTCTAGACCATGGGATACTACTCTCCAAGCTCCAGCATTAGAGGGTCGGCGACCCTCTTTTAACCTAGATTGCCAAGTTTTTACTTCAATCTCAATTAGTGATCAAAGTTCGGAGCTCGTTATCGGGACCCATACAAGTCGAGTGTGGTGTGCCTCAAGGCCCAGTTCTAGGTCCACGTTTACTTTCGGTGTTTATTACTGACTTTGCACAGCGAATCATTTCAAGCTACCTAACGTTTACTGGTGATACCAAGATTCGGCACAGAATTCAGGTAAATTCTTACCAGCATCTGCTTCAGAGTGACCTAGTTTCGGTGTACCAATGGGCAACCCAAAAGTTACTGCATTTCAACGTCAGTAATTGCAAGGTGTTTTCCATCCGACATCTGAGCAGCTACTCACACCGGCTCGGAACGAATTTATTACAACGAGTAACTCTCAAACGTGACTTGGGTGTCCTGATTCAAGGTGACTTGGGTTGCTCTAGGCAATCCGAGAAGATCTCGAAGACTGGAAACCAACACGTCGGGTTGTTGCGACGGGCGTTTGGACTAATAAACAGCTCCATATTTCGACAAATGCTCAGTGCATATATTCGCCCCCCTGTCGTATACGCAATTCAAGCCTGGCATCTATGGCTGAAACACGACCTTAATGCACTGGAGCAGCCACAACGTCGGGCATCTAAGAATTTTATTGGAATTCGCAATCTTTCATACCAGGAGAGGCTGCAACGACTGGGATTGTTCAGTGGAAGCTATCGCAGACTACGAGGCGACCTGATCATGGCATACTTGATTCTGCGATACCCACATCATGTGTGCCGCCCTTTATTGCAACTCAGCAGCAATACAACTCTGAGGGACCACTCAATGAAACACGATGTACAGTATGGCCGCCTGGAGGTCCACAGAAATTTCTTTTCCATTCGTGTCTGTCACCCGTGGAATGCTCTCCCAGAATCGGTCGTCTCTGCACCGACACTGACAGTATTTAAAAGACGGTTGGATGATGCACTCATCCACGTACTCTTTGTTACTTAACACTACGTCTCCATACTACAATTGCAGTTTGCCATTGAATTTATTGATGTTAACTGCGGGTGCTGTGAATCTAAGCAGATTGCAGTACTACAGCGGAGCAAACGATAAGTCCTTATTTTTCTGTTTAAAGTACTAACTGTTTTACTATTCTTATTACCATTATTGTTATGTCGATAACCC